CTTGTATACACAGATACAGAAACTGGAAGAGAGCACTATTCTTTCAGTTGGATAATTTTAAAAAAGTCGGCGATGCAGCGCAGTTTGTGCCAGCTCTTTGCTATGCAAATTTTAATCAGAGCTTATACTAAATACTTGTTTCTGCATTCAGATGTATGCAACCAATTCAAGCTGGTCTCAGGCATACCAACGCTAATGCATCGTCCTCGTTTTCAGTTCACATGCACAGTACATGCGCATTACACATTCCCATATTTCGCTTCCTATTCGTTTTAGCAAAGACAGTATCAGTTAAACAGGAAACTGTTAGCAAGTCATCAGAAAACAGCCGTATCGGTCTAGTTTACATAAACATATCTCCAGAGGCCGTGAAAAACTTTAAATTAGTTGAAAATCGCAGGTCCTTTTTGACCAATACAAAAAAAAAAAAAAATCAAGCCAGAAGCACCATATGTCCACCTTTTTAATAACACTGTGCGGGATTCAATGATGCGCAGATCTCAGGGGTTTGACTGCTTTAAGTGCTGGTTGTTGTGGAAGCAGCAGGGGAGCGAAAGACGCTTGGAGTGTAATCATGTAAGTAATCAAGCTTCTTGACTGGGCTACACACCTTATAAGCACTTATAGACAAAAAAAATTCGATACTGCTAGAGTAGAACACTGTGCTTCAAAATTTTGCTTCAGGAACCGATCAGTACTACGCAAATTCATTTACCCTGATGACCTAGGAATTAGAAACCTAGTTAGTGCGATATTCTCATGAAAGCTGTCTCCTCATAACTTCATATAATTACCATCCTTATCATATGCTAGTTTGCTCCTCTTCCACCTGCTCTATCATTTCTACTGCTTTCATGTTATTCCATTTTCTCTCCTTCTTACTCTCGCTCTCTCTTTTTCTTTCACTCATCCGTCTAGCAAATTAGTTACATGTTCCTTCAACACATACAGATTAGGAGGCTGTACTGACGATTCCCACTCCTAATCGCATGCATAGTCCGGTCTGTGTTTACAGCTAAGGGATGAAACACAGACTGCGTCGAAAAATATCACCCC